TCCTCACGGTGTGGTCATGATTACATGGGACAATGTGTATGGATGTGCCTTATAACTCCAGAGGCAGCCAAAAATACTACACTTTTTTTTTTTATCACTTATGCTTCCAAATCTGAACCAGCTTGCTTTGAGTATGTGGTTGGCTTGCAAATGAAACTATAGCACAATACGGTGCCTTTCTTTCTGTTCATTTTGAGTGTCACTGTGTTTATGGTGCTATGATTTAGCACCACAAAGGAGGAAGTCATTGTTGTAACAACTCCTGAGTGTCTGGTTAAAGGACCAAATGCAGAAAAGTGTTGAGTGGCCTTTATTTCCCACATGATGTATGTGGGGCCATGGTGACTATGAGTAACACAGCTATAAATGGGTTGTGGCAAGGCGTAAACATCACATGCTCTTCAGCCTGGACTTAGGGTGACACAAGGGAGATATTTGGTGTTCTCATCCCTGCACCAGCCAAAGTGTGTGTTGTCTAAAGCTAAAGTAGAGGTTGGCCTTAAAAGTTTCAGTACAAAAATATGTAGGGTAGCTGGCAAGTGACTTTTCAGTCAAGGGTCTTACAAATGCCCCCCATAGGAGTATAGGACACAGGAGAATAGCTGACAGTTGTTCTCTAGGTTGTAATGCAGTGTGGCCCTGGAGACTGCCCAACACACTTGCATTCCAACACCCTGACAAACAAGTGTGCTTTACAACACGGGCAATTTTAGCTCTGGATTTCTTCCCATTGATTCCTATTTCTAAATTCGATCTCTGACACAGAGCAGGGAGCCCAAGACTCTGGATGCATGATTTTTTAAAAATTATGGTATCATTTAGACATTTGCAGCACACAGTGAATTCTATGAGATGAAAGATAGAGACTCTGAACCTCTGGGGCTTTGCACTCCACAAAGGATCAGATCTGATCATATCCATGAGCAAAGTTCCATGTCCAGGCTTTTCAGGCTACTGGAACCTAGAAGGGAGAGAAGGAACTGGGGAGACAGGGTGATCTACACGACAGCTGCCATGCTTCTTCCATTCCTTGGTTCTGCCTCCTGCCCAACTCCTACAAAGAAGAAAGAACCAGGCTTAGTTTTTAGATTGCACTAACTGTATAGAGTGCATGGGGGTTATGCCTGGCACAAAACTAAGCTAGAAAGAAGCCAGTGGCTCATGCCTGTAATCCTAGCTACACAGGAGGCTGAGATCTGAGGATTAGAGTTTGAAGCCAATATGTGCAGGAAAAGTTCATAAGAATCTTAGCTCCAATTAACCACCAAAAAGCTGGAAGTAAAGTTGTGGCTCAAATAGTAGACTGCCAGCCTTGAGTGAAAAACTACAATATAGCACCCAGGTCCTAAATTCAATCCCCAGTACTGGAAGAGAAAAAAAACCCAAAAGAACACTAACAGCAACAAGAGAAACCCCCGCAGAAAAACAAAACAAAAAAGCAGGTGCAATCACTATCATTTTCCCTGCCTCTATTACACACTAATGCCATTACTCCATCCTCCTTTTGGCCAGAGTTCTCCAGGCTTCTTTAGCTCTTAGTATGTCTGTTGAAGGGGAAGGGCACAGTTCCTCTAAGGTCATAATTGCCTACATGATATTTCCTAATGGAGCCACAATTTCACCTATGTTGGACAGATGGATGGTGATCAAAGTCCATATCAAGCCTATCATATAAATAGTGACCATTTCTGGGTTGCAGATGGTGCTTCCTAGTCTGAATGTTTCTCAGACAGAAATCACACTTCACAGAATATGCTTCAGTGACAATTTGCTATGGATCATCACCCCTTTTATGCCACTCAGAAAAGCCCAAGGAATGTCTCAGCTTCAAGGGCAACTTGTCACGGACCTCATACTGAGCCAGAGAGACTGGCCATATTTGTCACCAAGCACAATGATCACAGAAGTAAGATGAATAGAGCATAACCTGGCCATTATGGGGCTGCAGCAAGGACCTAGGATACAAGTGACAGCCCAGAGAGGACATAGCAAACCAAATCAGCACTCTTGATTTCCTGCAGCTCTCATCCCTTACTCATTCCTACTGCTTCATATTAAAGAATGTGAGTTTGGCTGTCCTTTCAACTCCAGTTCACCTATCTCCAGTGGTTTAACTCATCAGTCTCTAGTTCCTTGCTACGTGTCAGGTACTGTGATAGGTGATGGGATGTAAAAATGAATGGGCCATATTCATATCCTACATAAGGTTATAACCTACTGGTGGAGAGATACAGCAGGAAACATGAGAAGAAACATGAGAGAAGACAGATGATGCACACATCAAGTCATAATGGTTCAGTGCATTATATGAAGAGTCATGGATGGGTGAGATTTCAGTCAAAAGTTATAAGCAAAAAGCGGTGGGGCATGATATTCTTGTCATGTTACAAAAGCAGTTAAATAGCTCATCCAATGAACTCAGAGAGAGGATCCACAAGAGAGAATGGCTATAGATGGGACTGGCATTGCCAATCAGGGCAAGGCTGACATTACTAGCCAATAATATTCATCTCACCTAGAAGCCCTGGGCTGGGGATGAGGTGGTATCATATTTCTTTTTGGGAATTGGTGTGGACCAAAATTGTATAATTTCTTAAAACTAGGTAGAAACCATTTAATATCTATCAACAGTTGAATAAAGAAAATGTGATATAAATGGACAACACAATACTGTGCAGCCTTGGAAAAGATGGATGTTCTGTACCATGTGACAAGTTAGAGAACATGTAAAGTGAAATACCTAAGATCAACAAGAATGTATAGTATGGGGGGGAGGTTGGGGGGGAAGGCTGGGAAGGGATGTGAAGGGTAAACAAAGGAGGAAGCTGCAATGCTTGATAAGAAATGTACTCATTATCTTGCCCATGCAATTGTAACCCCTCTGTACAGTATGTTCACAAAAAATAAAAAAATAAAAAAAGAATGTATAGTATCCTTAAAAATGTGTTAAGTGAGTAGATCTCATATGTCCTTACTACAAGAAACAAATGAAAATGAAATAATAGAGTAATACACGAGGGTATGTTGACTATTAGTGATAGCATGTTATTTTGTAACCTTTACTACTTTCCTATGTTTCCTTTTGGTTCAAGAACCACACAAACTTGTCCTTGTTAGTAGACTGGAAGGAATCTGAGTCAGGAACTTGGGTTACAAATCCCCACTTTTCCATTTACCAGCTGTGAGACTTCGTATAAGTCGCTTTTGCAACCTCTGTGGATTTCATCTCACAAAACTGCTGGCATCGCAGCAATGCTATAAATGTTCAATGATACATAGAGTTTTGTGATCTTTCCAGAAATCTCTACAGACATATTCAGGAAAGCAAAGCTTTCTAAAACGTCTTTGCTGTAGGCTTCTCCTCAGGGCTCACAGGCCAGGCCTGGCCCCGTGGCTCATACTAACTGTCAGACAGACCGAGAAAGAATATTTGATTCACTAGCCTTTGAAGTAAAGAAAACCAAGGGTTGTGGAGAGTACTTATCCATAGTTTCTGCCCCAGCAGGAGGAGGATGCTTGTCTGTATGCTCCCCTCCCCCACCATTGGTAATGAAAAATTGTAAGTGAACTGCTTCTTAGAAAAGCTTCAGCCAAGGAAAAACACACAAAGAAGAACACTAAATGTGTCAATAATGTTTTTAAAAAAATACGCCAGTTACAAGAGTTGTGAAAACAAATGGCACTGTGTCAGCTATTGCTGCATAACAAACTACCCTCAAATACTTCATACGAACATATGTGTGTGTGTGTGTGTGTGTGTGTGTGTGTGTGTGTGTGTGTGTTACAGGCTATGGATTTTTTTGTGCTTAGATTATCTTGGCTAGGCTCACTTACAAGTCTTCAGCTCAACTGGAAGTTATGCACTAGAGTGCCCCTGGTTGAGGCAATTTGCTGAGATGTTCTGTTCCATGTTTCTCAAGTTTCTTCTGGGATCAGAGGACTAGACTGGGCATGTCCTTGTTAAAGCAATGACAGAGATATAAGCAGGTCGGCAAAAGCAGGTAATACTTCTCAAGGTATGGTCTCAGGACAGGCATACTACACTTCAGCTTCATTCTGTTAGCTGAAACAAGTTATATCGCCAAGGACTGGCAATTATAACCCATCCAATCACTAGAAGGGAAACTACAGTTACATGGCAGTGGCAATGGATATAGAGAAGAGTTGATTGGAGGCCTGGATGAAAATTTGTCTCAGAGATGGTTTAACATTTTACTTACTCCTTCATTGTATAGCCCTTCCTGATTCAGTTTTTAATTATTTAAACCACTAGACCCAAAGTTGATGATCATAGTTCACTTTATATTCATGAAATCAAGTAACTGCAAATAAAAATGGGGTATCATATGCCATTTACCCTGTATAAATCATATGAAGGTATATAAGTTGTCCCTAAAAATATCTCAGGAAAACTATGGGCTGGTGGCCTGGATCAAATGCTATAGCACCTACCTAGCAATCAATCACAAGGTCTTGAGTTTAAACTTAAGTACTATAAAAAACTAAGCTAGTGATGAACTTAGAGGACTCTGGATTAAGTGCAGAAAGACTAATGTAGGGACACTGGATTAGTTCAGAAAGATTAATGCAGTATGATCTCACTTGTTTATGAAATACAACAGTGTCGAACTTACACAAGCAGAGAGTAAATGGTGGTTGCTAGGGGCTTATAGGAATGGGGAAATAATGGTCAGAGGGAGCAGAATTTCAGTTAGATATGAGGAATACATTCTGGGGCTCTACTGTAAAGCATGGTACCTATAGTTAATGATAATGTATTGTATACCAGAAAATTGCTGAGAGAGAACATCTTAAATGTTCTAACTACAAAAAGAGTGTGAGTTGATAGATATGCTAATTTGCTTGATTGAATCATCTCATGAGGCATGCATATATCAAAACATCACATTGTACATGATAAATATATACAATTTCTGTTAGTCATACCTTAATAAAACTCGGGAGAAAAATTGATGGTTTCTTTGCTTTTTCTTTTGCAGGCTTGATGTGAAGAATTAAGGCAGAAGAGAATGGACTCAAATGAATACAGCTCACTAAAATTTTTATATATTTGTATGAAGCTCCCTGAATTACCTGAGACTCTAGTGGAAATGAACTGCTTGTACATTTATATCTCTTCCTTCTAGTTGGCTGCATTTATCAATTTATCTTTATATTTGGCACCTCGTAGAGAAAACAAGTCCATAAGTTCACCATCTGGAGGGTGTGGCTTTGAGGGGGATATGACAAATGTGCAAAACAGGGATTTTCCTGAAAAGTTATCTAAGCTACTTCCCATAGTTTTTTGGTCAATTTTTGGAATATATTTTAATTCTTCACCTTTCAAATCGTGTCAATAAACTTTTTATGAGTTCAAATAAATATTTGAGGAAATATAAAATATGAATTTAGTCTAAATTGATTTTCATATCTTCAGAGAGTTACATATTCTCAAAAATAGAGAGAAATAAGATGTTAGAGGCAAATTCTGTATTGTCCTAAGAGAGAGCTTTTCATTCTGAATTACTGGGTACCATGGCGAACACTATGGCTGACTGATCATTGTATATGAACCTAAATATTGCTTTGCAGTTGGGTATTGCTGGTATTCCTTCTCCAAGGATGACTTTTATGGTTAGTGCACTTTACTTTCACAGAAGGCTCAGAAATTCCCTTTACCCAGATGGAATAGAGTTCTTTATAAGACACAATAAAGGAATGCTGAGAGATTAGAACAAAATAGACAGGCTGATCATATGTTAGCTGGGCAGTGGAAAATGAAATATGTCTCCTGTTAAGATGGAGAGTCTCTAGGTAAATTCAATCAATGTCCAATGCTATCATGAACCAAGAAAAATCATGCAAGTAACTGCAAAATATGAAGGCATGAGGGACCAGATTATCAAAGACCACTTTGTTTGAAAAGCAAGCATGTTTCCTGTCTGGTACGAAGAGACCTCTATATTGTCTCTGGGGCTAAATGACTTTTTTTTTGCTTTAAAGTCAGCCATTATAAAAAACAAATCCAATGTATTTTTTGAATATCTCAAGTGTAGATAATGCTCTCAATTTTCTATTTTATAGATTGATTTCTAGAATGAAGAAGTTGCCCTCACCTGTGACTGAACACAGACTTGGTTGATGCCTAATGAATCAGTGGCTTCCTAAAGGGAGGCCATCTGGTTGTAGGTTCCAGGCTATGGTTGATCCTGGTCATCTCTGTCTAATATATACTTATGGGAAGGAAACCATCAATCAGGGCAAACCATACTAACATATACTCTGCCAGCAGATGAGGGTCTCTAAATAACTTGGCACTAGGTTTTCTCTAGCTGTCTGATTCCTGCCTAACTTGTGTGCTTGTATAGTGTTATAAGATCTACCTCAGCTGGGCATTGGTGGCTCACACCTGTAATCCTACCTACTCAGGAGGCTGAGGGCTGAGGATCATGATTCAAAGCCAGCCTGGATAGGGAAGTCCATGAGACTCTTAGCTCCAATTAACCACCAGAAAACTGGAAGTGGTGCTGTGGCTTAAAGTGGTAGAGTACTATCTTTGGCAAAAGAGCTCAGGGACAGTACGCAGTCCCTGAGTTCATACCCCGTGGCTGACAAAGAAAAGTATCTACCTCAGTGTTCACTTTGTTTAAATTATCAGTGTTCAGTTTCAAAATTAAGATCTGGTTTAATGTTACAAAATTTTTCTTCATATTCTAATAAGTCTCCCAAGACATATTTGCAGCGTAATACAGACCAAAGTCAGGATACAAATTCAATGGATGTTTGAAAGCTTTAAATGTAATATAAATTTTATTTTATTAAAGCTCAAATTCACTATGTATAAGATTTAAGAAGTTCCACATTCCTACCATTCACTGGACAGTACATACACTGTAATATAAGAAGTGTCTTAAATTTTGATGAAGTTATAATCCCCCAAATTCACACATTTCACACTAAGTACCTCTTTTAAAAATTCACTCATTGTGGGCCGAAGATATAGCTCAGTGGTAGAGTGCTTGCCCAATGTACATAAGGCCTCTGAACAGCACTGAACAGCACTGAACAGCCTTAGTAATCCCATAAATTAGCCTGGTATGGTGCCTTGCACCTGTAGTCCCATCTAATCAGGAGGCTGAGGTAGGAGGATCATTAGAATCAAGGATTTGAAACCAGCGTGGGGAACAACGCAGTGAAACACCAGTCTCAAAAGCAGCAATAAAACAAACATATACATCATGTTGAAGCAGGTTTATTTGTCATATGGGGTTGTAAACAATAGTCAACCATGCAACTTCTCCACTGAGGAGAAATAAGGTTTAAGTAGTTGGACGTTCATTGGGAGAGAAAAATAAGCTAGAAACAATACTGTTTTGAACAAGTAAAGTGAAAGGTAACCAAGATTTTGTGTTTGTGCTGTTAGGGGGACTATTACCACTATACTTTAAGGTATGTAAGTACAATATTTACTCTGTTCAAAATCCCTGGATTTTTACTATGTAGTAGGATGTATGGCAAGTACTGGGAGAAACACAGCAAATTCATCTGGCCTAAACCAACTCCCCATGGGCTTTACCTCACTCCATGGGTTCTTTGGATGCTCTGCTTAAGATAGTGAAAGGAAAAGGCCCTTGCTGGGTCTAGGATTGTGTGGGGCACTTGGAAAGCTTCTCTCTTTAGAGCAAAAGCCATCAGAAATGAGCCATCTCAGCCACTCATTTTGCATGATCTTTGCATTTTGAGAGCACAAATTGGAAGGTAATCAGCTTTGTTTCCAAGATTACTTACTGGGTAGCTGAATGGCACTGTAGTATTCTAGAAGTTGGACCCAGGGCATTGGGGATGATAATTATCCAAATGAACACCTCATTTTTAACTGGAGCAGTTAACAGATTTACAAAAAGCCTCCCATTATGATTAGGCCCCAGTAAGGAACACTACTAATTTGTGTCATCCTGTGAAATCCCCTCTCCTACATTCTTGGGCTGACCTAGAATTAGGGTTTCCCCATTGGGGATGAAAAAAAGCTCATTTAGATTCAAGGACTACAGGTTGATCAATTAAAATGGGTTCCCTTTGAAGGCTTGTGGCATTATCTTATTGCTTTGCAATCTAGCTTGAAATAGAAACTGCATTTAATGTGGTAATTGATGTTCGCTTGGGACTTAAACCTGATGCTGAACGTATGTAGCAATGTGGCCCACTGCTAGTTTTCTTTGCCTCACATACTATTAATGAAATTTCGGTACTACTTCGAAGTTATACATTATAACTTGAAGACACAATCATGTATTCGTTCAACAAGCCACACATAGTATATTCACTAAGGGAGACAGCAATCCATCAAGCTTGTTGCCAGGCTAAGCAAACCCTTAGAGCTCATGTATTGAGTTCATTTTCTCTCTAGGCAAATGACCGAACTTGTTTAGATCTTGCACTGAAGGAAATCACATTGTCAAAAAAAATATATGCCGATTATAAAAGAGGGGATTCAGCCATAAAATAAGATTACAGCCCTAACAACATCATCACCTAAAGGTGTTCTTCAGAGAAAGAAAAACAGCCTCAATTAAACAATCATTTCCAGATTCTGAGATGCTCTTGGCCTTCCATCCTTCACCTCTATGCTTGTTTATTAAAAGAGAAAAATCAATCCTTTAACATTTGACTTCTCCGAAGCTAAATAATTTAGAGAGCACTGACTAGGAGAAATCACACTATCAGATATCAAGGCTTTTAAAAAATATTATTATTATTTTTATGAGCAGCTCTTTCCTGGTTCAGCAAAGATACATTAATATGCAGATTCCAGAGGGAAGGAGATTTTCCCTTGGGCTTTAAGTGCTTGCAGATGAGGAGCTGCAAAGCGAACACAGGTCTGCACTCTGAAACCTAATTTGCAACTCTGATTGACAGTGGAGAGGTAAGATGAACAGAGGAGATGCACACAAGTTTTGCCTCAATGTGTGGGTAGCTGACCAGCTCTCTGAATTAAAAAAAAAGGGGGCTCTAGCTATGGTGCACTAGACAAGTTAGGGTCCTGGAGAACATTCTTTTCACAAGCATTTTGGAACCCACCAATGTGTAATCGAGCCACCCACACAAGCCTCCCTGCTTTCTCGCTAATAGGAAGCTTTAGGCAAAAAACCCCCCAACAAACCAACAACAACAAACAACAAAAGCAAAACCAAACCAAACAGGGAAGGCTTCATTCTTGATTTATGACTTTGTTTTGCTTTATTTTACACCATGTCTTTAGGCTCTGGCCACACACAAAGATGCTTAGGCTTAGTCTGTCTTCACCCAGCCAACGGGTGAATTTTCCCAAATTCAGTGAGATCAGTGAGTATCAAAAGCCAAAAGAGACATTTCAACTTGTAGGAGAACAAATATCCATCAAAACCTTGGAATCTGTGCTTAGTATCAGAAAGCAGGCATTTGCTTGGTGGTTGATCCAAACTCATTTATGTAGATCTAACTTTTCTTTCTTTCTCTTTTAAAAATAAAGCATCCATTAGTTGTACAATGGGGTTTCATTTTAACATGCTCATCCATGCATACAACGCATCTTGATCAGAGCCACCTTATTGTATTTCTTTGTGGTGGTACTGAGACCTGAACTAAGGGCTTTACATTGTTGTTCAGTTTTTGTTTTTTGCTTATATCTGGTACTCTACCACTTGAGCCATACCTCTAGTCCATCATTTTGCTAACTGGAGATAGAATCTTTTCTGCCAGGGCTGGCTGGTTCCAGCCTTGATCCTCAGATCTCACGTTGCATTTATTCATATTTGCAATTTTAAAAAGCAGGAAAAACATAGCTATCTCTAGTGATAAATAATAATAGTATATAGACCAAGATTCCTAAAGTCTTGAACAAACACAACATGTGCACACACACAAACCCCACGACCCTCCAAACTTATTTTTCAAATCTTGATTTCATTGCCAGGCATCATTGCTGTGCTGCCCCAGGAGGGAGGAAGTAGGAACTCCATTTAGGACACACACACACACACACACACACACACACACACACACACACACACACGCATGCACGCACGCACGCATGCACACATGCACACACACACTGAATAGGAGGAACTAATCAGGAGAACTGGCTCTTTGTGAGAGAACCCTCTGGAACCCTCTGGACTCCAAATTCTGTAGTTAGCCCTTGGTTTACAGCAGGGCTCCTAACCAACAGACTGCCCATTTTGGCATCACTTTGCTTA